AATTATAATTTTTCTAAATATTATATTATTATATCTAATGTGGCATTTTCATTAAAGCTAACTCAAATAGTCTATATAATACCATTTTGATGATAGGGAATACAAAAGTAAAAGTTATTTGAGAATTACATTATTATCCTGAGTTTCTTATTTTAATATTTAACATAATAAAGAGAATATAACATACCTTAATTTTTTCCTAACCAGAAAGCCACGTATCCATCTTTGAATGATCAAAACTGGTGAATTATGAGCCAGAATTTCATTAATTTTTGAAATAATATGCTTAATATTATTAATTTCATCTTCATAGGTTGTTCCCTGTATAAGAAAATATGCTTATTTTATTTTAATCTTTCTTGAAAGCATTTCTAAATGATAGTTTAAATGTTGTGATTTAAAAATAGGAATAAACTAGTAAGACTTTCACAGGTATCTTAGAGGCATAATAGTTAAATAGTATACTTTCATATCAATTTTATTAGATGAAAATCTGAAGAATTAGCAGTATCACATAATTTCAATTCTTTATGCAAAATGCAAGACCCATGAAGATGAATTAATCCATTCTAGATTCTCCTCTGAATATGGGAGCATATGCGGAAGCATCCAAAAGTTTCTGTACACATGGAATTAAAACATAATGGCATTTTTCCAAGGACTTTTTGAAGTTCCCTCATATGTGTAAAATCTTGACCAAAATCATCCTAGAAAGGTAGTGCGTGAACAAGAGCTAAGTGAAATTCTAAAAATTACACTACGGATTCCCATAAAGAAAACTGCCATAAGATGGATTCATAATTTAGAGTCATTGAAATTTGCATTGTAGCTTAACTGGAATATTGGACACTTTGCAGGAACCTGGGACATTCCTCTGGGGAAAGATATCTGACATTGCTTTTAAGGGCATTATTTCTATGATCTCATTTTTTGTATATTTTTAGATTTGGGTAAGAGACTCTGTATATCCCATTTGGCTAGTTAGACATAAAGTTATTTTATATGTTTAGAATGATGCATACAAAAGCAACAATTACATTGTTGTAAGACACCTACCCTGAAAATTAGTACTCTGCAAACAATACGAGAAGCTGGGTTCTATGAAAAAAAAC